CCCACTGCGTGCCCCCCCGCCCCCCACCCCCCGAGGCCCGGCCTACCATGGCTTTGAGCTCCACGAAGGAGACAGTGGTGCAGTTGAAGAGGTCCGGGGGCAGCCAGCCCTTCTCCCCACTGCAGTGCCGGACTGCATTCCCTGGGGAACGGGGAACAGAGAGGAAACCCTGAAATTCCAATTGTTAATTACGCTCGTTTACCTGAATGCACGCAAATCCCGTCTGTTCAGCAGGGACGTGAACTCCAGGAGTGAAGCACAGCCCTGGGTGGGGCTGGGGCCAGGCAGGTGCCACGGCCAGAGGCCCTCCCAACCTCTCTCCCCTCATGCCAGGGGCCACGTGGGCCGCCCAGCGATTAGGAGCAAACATGTGAGCAAGTCCACGACAAGAGAAATCGGCTCCGTCGTTTGCCAAATGACGAGCGTCCGTCTGTCTGTCTGCACGCCTGCTGCGAATCCGACTCTGATGCGTGGTCTCACTGGACCTCCCAACCCCCCTCGGGGCGCGGACGCGGCTCCCACCCCCATATGACAGAGAACCCAGCGCTGGGAACAGCGACGCAGCCTGCCCGATCCCGGCCACTGTGCCCTTCGTGTCTGCGTTACAGCCCTTCCAGCTTTCGCCACTGACAGTTAAGGGAACAAAATTTCGTCAACGCAGAACGTCCCGTGAGTTCCCATGCTTCGGCCAAGTCTCCCGTAAGCCACGTGCCTCGACCAATTTCCTGCCTGGAATGGATGCCACAGGCCAAGGCACTTACCCGTGGATCCCTTGGGGCACTGCACCGCGGCCGGCTGCCCGAACTTGGTCTGCGGCCACCAGATGCCGGCCTCGAATGCTCTGGGACACCCATTGTAGATCACTGGAGGACGGGGGAAAGAAGGCCACTCAGCCGGGCGTGGCCATGGCCGTGGCCGCGAGGGTGCACAGCGCCCCACATGCTGCACCCGTGTCGAGAACCGGACCCCTGCACTTTCCCTCATCGGCGTGAGAACGTGGGCGGGCGGGGCCCTGGCTCTGACCCATGCCCTCCGCGAGGGCCAGGTCACCTGAAGCTCCTGTGGACACAGGCAGGCCAGGAGGCTGCCGACCCTCCCCAAGCCCCGGGAGTCTTCTGTGCACACGTGGACGCACGCACACACACGCCCAGCAGCCTGTCCCTGCGACGTGGCCCGAGGGGTTCAAGGGGCAGCTCGGACCTTCACAGCCGAGCATGGTGACCTCGGCGAAAGGGTTGTCACAGCGGTTGCACTGACGGCCGATGACGCCCGACTTGCAGACGCACTGCCCAGTGTCCATGTCGCAGGCGCGGCTGTGGGAGCCGTGCGGGAAGCAGTCGCACGGCAGGCAGGCATCCTGGTCCGGGGGCCTGTAGTAATTCTCCTGCGAAAGCCAGAAGCCGTGCGTGGGACTCCGCACACGGGCGGGGCTCTACACCTCGATTCTTCCGGAGCGCGTCAACGTTACAGCGCGGTTCCTGGGCCTCTCTCTGCTGCCCTCCACCCACATCCCCCCGCCGGGGGCTTCCTGGGCGCCCGCCATGGCGGACGGGCAGGTGCAGTCTCCAGGAAAGCACCCTTCTAACTTCTTAGCAAAGACTTGTGGGAAGCCTGCCTATCTGTCCTAGAAAATACTGGATTCCAATGGAGATTGAAGGACAAGGATGGCCCTTGCAACGTCTTTTTTAACTGAGAGAAACCAGAAGCCACCTAGTGTCCACCACTGGGCAGGTCAGAGTGACGGCCAAGAGCATGGGCTTCAGAATGCAAGGTCCTGGGTTTGTGCCCATCCAGGCTTTGACTGGCCA